CAGCTGTCGTTCAGTATTGTTGCTGTGGCTTTTGAGCCAAACATCCCACTTGTGCATGGGTGGCGTTACACTCATCTGGCCAAACCATGAAAGGAACGAAACTGAGGAGAATGGTGTGACCCTGCTCCCCTCCGTCCTCGTAATGCAACCGCAGATACCCGCTCGACTCATCTTCCGAATTCTTTTTTGGAGGAGGATGAAGTCAATGGAGACACGCCTAGCCAGGTTTCTGCTCGTCTTGTAGCTTCATCAGGGCGGTTGGGACGCCAGATTGGTGATGAGATCGAGCAAATCATCGCAGCTACAGGACCGGGCCGGGCATCAGGCTGTGCCTTTCGCTAGCCGGTCTTGCAGATTGAACCAATAAGTGATGGTCGCAGCCAAGGAGGACATCAGCCTTACACTGCTGCAGTATACCCTGTTGACTGAGACATGTAGTGTCACAAGAAAACGGGTTGATGACGGGTCATGATGCTGGGATGTTCGGCACGTGAAGAAAGAGGAGCAATTCTCAGACACTAGCATCATTGGCTAAATACTACTTCTGGAGAACGACCCAACGGCTGCACATCGACAGGTGAATTCGCCGCCCATTTTCAATATGGCACGGAAAAGAGAAGAGGTAAATACGACTACTAGTAGGGTAGAGGCTCGTCTCAATCCAAGTCTAGCCATCTGTGGAAATACCAGGACCACACTCACACAAAACTTACCACACGATATACTTTCGCGCGATGTCACCTTAGTTTACACTGAGCCAGCCCGGGCAACGGAGCCTGCGGCATCCCCGAAAGCCAATGATTGATCGCGAACTGTGCCTCCGGGAGAAGCCCAGCCTCCGAGCAACCTGACCCTCCCCTGGTGGCTGCATCCCTCCGCGCAGCCTTTTCAACTAACTAATTTAACGTGAACATAGATGATATAAGCTTGTCAGACAATGCAAGCTGTGCAGCTACAGTCATGATAGATAGTTACTAACTAACACTGACTATCAGCCCATGCTGCCGGTCGTTGTTGAGACTGCAGCTGGGGCGGTCTTGATCTCTAACACCGAGAACCGGCGAGCGGGTTAGCCCTTTGCACTTAACTCGAAACTCGAGGTTGGGCCAACCTCCGATCGGACTCGGAGTCGCCGGTTCACTTTTCACTTTCCACTTTTCAATCTGCCAACCTCATTCAAACCCATCCGACGTTGAGTTTGGGGACAGACGGCCATTTAGGGTTATCTCCTTAATGCGGGCGGGCGGACAATGGGTGAAAATGCGGGGAAAGAGCCGAAGCTATTACCTAACAGTTTCCACTCGGCCCCAGTCGGTGGGAAATATCTGGGGTAGCTGACAAGAATCTCTCCCGAGTCTGTTCTCATTCCTTCCGCAGTCATGCATTTGGTCTGGTCCACTGGCGATACGAAGATTTATTCTTGGACTGGCACTCCCAGGGGACTGACCAGAAAGGGATCAACCACTTTGAATGATATTCATCTGGTTGCTCGAATTATGAATTATGATCTATCCATCGTATCCTGACATCACTCATTCGTCGGCTTGAGTTCTCGTCTTGGCTATCGAGGGCGTAAGACTGAACCATGTTATACTTCCTTCTTCCCCTCATATTTCCTTTTACCTCGGTTCAAGAGTCGCCCTCGCTGAATGTTGCAGGCAGCAGTAACCGCCTAAGAGATAATCTATCGACCGCAGCCTGACACTCTGATCTCTACTCCCTTTGATAGCCCGGGTCAACGAAAGTCGATTTGGGGAAAAAAAGACAAATGAAGTACATCCCCGGTGATTGAATGCAGGGAATTGAATCACAACCTCGGCGCGGGTCTTGTCATTACATAAAGACTGGACTGGGCTCTAATAAAACCAGATCATCTGTTGAATTCACGGTCGCGTGATGCACTTCAGATACACGAATGTCGACTACTCATGGATGAACAGGTTGCTCACGAAACTAGAAGGATTCGGACAATTGGAGCGCGGTTAAATCAAGCTAGCAACTTAATTGAGCAAGCGCTGAATCAGACAAAGCCCCCAAATGCTGGTCAGTTGTATACTGATCCGAAAAAAATCTTATCCAGGCGTGTCGATGCCACTTGAAGAGCATTCTGACCCGATCTCACACCAATATGCGACTGACGAACCCGTGCCTGTTTGCTTCGCTGATTGAGAGATATGTACCTTTTGGGGAAGGCCATCTTGATCTGCCATAAATCATGCATCTGCACGTCGATTGCACGCCTGAAAAAAAAAAACAGGATACAGATCCCCTCTTGACTGATGGAAGGATGAAGAACGCCCTGCGAAGCTATTGGCCTTAAAAGACATGATTGGAATACAGTCATCAATATTCATTGGATAATTAAAACAGAGCTTGAAATATCGTGAACATCATGAGGTTCATGAGCTACCAACTGGCCCTTCGCCTCCAGGAATCAACTGAGCAATCTTGTTAGCTTGGTGGACACGAAAGCAGGAAGGGCTCGCACCATGCAAACGTTATTGCCATTGAGCAATATCTTAGGGAGCTTAACTTGCGCACCAGAGTAGTCGCTGGTAGCACTTAGTACGTAGATCGGACCATGTTCTGGTAGTTGCAGGGCGATTCAATGCGATGGCATGATGTAGCCAGAGCAGGATACGCAGTCGAAGACACTTACAATTCTGTCACGTCTTCCAAAACCATGTCTGAAAGAAAAATTAGATTATTGATACTAGTAGGACAGAAGAGAATTTGACCACTTACTGACGTAGTCATCAAATCCCAGCAATGTACCAGAGAACTCTGTTTGATAAGAAGTTAATCATTCTGTCTTCCGGGAAAGAAAAGAGGTTGCCGGCACCAACCCTTATCATTCTTCATAATAACCCAGATTCTAGAGCCGACACACTTGTCGATCAGCTCTAGTCCGAGGGTTAGCACGGTCACGTCAATGCATATCCATATAATTCAATGAATTACCAAGAGGAAGAAGTTGAGAAGCCATTATGAGAGGTTTCGGCCAACGGTGATACCAGATCGAGAAAAGTTGGTACAAAGCTCAAGAAGACCCTGAGGAAAGAAGAGAAAAAAACGACAAAGGACGAGTCTGTAGGGTTTTCACAGTACGACAGGAGCACAAGATACTTGATCTAGAAAACGACGCGGTGGGCGGAAACGGTCAGTGTTGAATCCATCCAGGCAATCTTGGCATCTTCGCTGGAACTCGCGTTTATCCGGCCCGCTCACTCAACCCAATCAGGGAGCAAGTTGACTAACAATACCCGTGACGCCGCGGCGTGTTTCCCTTGCCTACTAGGTACTGTACACCACCTGGTTCTTTACTAAGGTTCTTCAGGTACCATATTTTTACCGACTTTCATGGAAAGCAATCAACGTGTCTCTTTGGACACCGCTATTTTCAATGTAAATAGCTGAGACTTCAGTTCCCTTTTGGAATTTTTTGATCGACTGAAGCTCAAGAGCATGTTCGGGTTGAGCCTCGTCTAAATCGTCTTAATACGCACTAAGCGCCCTGCTATCACAAGGGACAAAACAGGAACCGCGCGTGGACAGCATTTCCACATTCTTTAGCCTTTCGGCCTCAGAAGATGCTTGTCACTGCGTCGGCACTTACACGGTAGGTCGCACCCTTCTTCTACTCGTACCCTTGACCCCGATTGACCGCAAATACAGGTTTACATCGCCAGACCAGGCTTTGTTGGCGGCAAGCTCAAGGTCGCTACGCAGGCCGTGCGCCCCGAGCCAGCAGCCAGGACCAAGCGTCTATACGGGCAGATTTTACGCCGCATTGGCGAAGCCAGCCTTGACCATGAATTCCCAACCAGAGACTAGTGGCCCCAAGCGACGCAGAACCCTGCCATGGTTTGACATATATAGTCGACCTTCAGTCTCTTCCAATGGAGCCCAGGGCTCATTTCAGGTGCCCCCGGGTACCTCTTCCGTGTCTCGGAGGGGGGTCTGGAACCATCAGGGGCGAAAGCCCAAGAGAACGTGCCTGGGAGAGATGAGGCGATCATATAGCTCAAATATATCGATCGCTTCAGATCTGGGGCCGCTCGGAACCCTGCAGAAGCCTGAGGCATCGACTTTATTCAAGGGTCCTCAAAAAGGGCCATCCACGTCAGTAGATCAAACCAGCAGCAACCCCATGGATTCTATCAAGAGTCATTTTGCAGCCCAACAGCTTCAAAAGGACGCAGCCGGGAACCCCGTAACTCCGGAGTTCTGGAGCCACAAATTACAAAAGAGCCCGGAAGGGAAAGACATTGTTGTGCACTATTGCAGGAGCCTGAAAAGTAGCGAGGATATCGCACAGCTTTTTCTAGAGGATGATCTCCTTGGGCTTGACCTGGAATGGAAGGCCTCGGCTTCGGCATGGGGCAGCATCCAAGACAACGTTTCGCTGATTCAGATCGCGAACCGCCACCGCATTGCGCTCTTTCACGTGGCACTGTTCAAGCCGGCAAGAGGCATCGCCGATCTTGTACCACCTACGCTGAAGCGTATTATCGAAGATCCAGCAATCACTAAAGCTGGCGTGTCGATCAAGGCGGACTGCACCCGTCTCCGAAAGTTTCTCAAGATAGACGCGCACGGGATTTTCGAGCTTAGCCATCTTCACAAGCTGATCAAGTACTGCCAATCGAACCCAAAACTGATCAACAAACGACTGGTCAATCTGAGTGAGCAGGTGGAGGAGCATTTCGGGCTACCCTTGCAAAAAGAGGAGACCGTGCGGTGCAGCGAGTGGACGGCGACCTTGAACTATCGCCAGGTCCAATGTGAGTGTCACTTGATCCTTGACCAAAGAAGATTTGAAAATAGCTGACGGGGCTCACGATAGATGCTGCGTCTGACCCATACGCATGCGTCTGCTTATATGACAAAATGGACGCCAAACGGCAAGCCCTGGACCCCACGCCCCCTCTCCCTGCCCACGCCGAACTGAATATACCTATCCGGGTTGTGTGCAAAGCGCCTGTCACTGCCGACTTGGAAGAAGTCGAAGTAGTGCAACCCGGCGATGCTCCGGAAAACTCAAAGTGTACCATTTAATGATTTAAAGTCCGTATATATATCGGGGAACAGATACGGTTCCTCTTTCTGAAAATAAACAGACCAGTGCCTCTCACCACAACGTTTCAGGGATGTGCATTTGCAATATTTGCCCGTCATATCGGCATACTGTGATCGGATTACTGTTAGCCTGTCAAAAGGGAGCTATAAACGCAAAACTTTCCTTGATCTTATCTTAGGGAGGCATTGGGGATCTTCTACGAAGTATTCAGAGATGTATAGATGTGAGCCAGGACTTTGACAGATGGCTGCGATCCAGGCAGGAACTGTCAAAATATATCTCTAAATTGAAAGGGTATATCTGAAACAAGCAATTTGCAACGCTGAAACATGCCAAGAAAGCAGTATGCGACGGGACTAGGTGGGACGCCTCTTAGACTAGTACTACCCTCTCAAGGGTAGCACTTTAGACAGGAGGACCTCCTGGCGGCAGAGCGGGCACTCCGGCTTCTCGCGTACCCAGTCTCGAACACATGTCCAACAGAACACATGACCGCAAGTGGTAGCACTCGGATCTTTGAACAACTCTAGGCACAGGGTACACTTGCGCTGTTGGCCAGCCGGTATCCAGGGAACAGCGTTCGGGTCCTCGGCGAAGTCGTACCGGGCACGGCTAGCGGGCAAAAGCGGAAGCGAAGACGGATTCTCAACGGAGTTTATCGCCTTATCGCCTTGACCGCCAGCCGCTCCAGCGTCCGCTGCGTGAAGGTCCTGGTCCTCCTGCTGCAGGCCGGCGGCCACCTTCTTGATGTGCAGAACTCCCTGGACTGCGATCTGCAGCACGAGAAGCACGCCCAGGACCTCGTAGCCTACCCGCTGCTCGTTCTCGTTGATCTTCTTGGTAAAAATATAACGCAGGCCCCAGAAGCGCTTCGAGAGGTGGTAGTAGGCGCCGGTGAAATAGAAGGTCGCGATGCTGACGGCGTAAATGGGCGACAACGACGTGATGGATTCGAGGTGCTCCAGGATATATCGTTGTATCCGCAGCTTGGTGAAGAAAGAGCCCGATTGGTCGCGCTGATCGTTTCGCGTGCTCTTGGTCTGGGCGTTCTTGACCTGCTGGCGGGCAACACTACGTTCGAGTTTGGCTCGCAATCGCTGTCGGAATGCGGGGAGGATCCTCTGAAGCGCCCACGGGAGTAGAATGCTGCTGAGGATGTATCCGACCCGCCGGGGGAGGGAAGGGAGTTGCAGTGTATCGTCCTCTAATTGGACCAGATCACAGTACTCCTCGCCCAATGTCCGATTCCCGACCAATGTGGTGAGGGAGAAATACAGGGTCTCGGTCAGTCGTTTGATGGCCTCGGAGTGCGTATGGGCGAATCGAGCCCCACGAAGGGAACGGGCGATGGATTGAGCTTGGTTGGTCAAGCTCGCGGAGAGAAAGACATCCTTCTCGTGAGAGCGGATGATATCTGGCGAGGTAGCGAAAGGGTAGAAGTGGCCCGAGGGACGTATGGAGGTAGTGGGAGCCGAGGCGGTGGTTATTGAGAGATCTTCGTCAGCCATTGTGAGAAGAGCGACCAGAGAGGACGATAGACAATGTGAAGTAAGTGGAGCGGAGCGCGAGGAGGAGAGAGGCTAGATAACCAGGGAGGTAAGAAGGGAAAAGTCATCAGCTTCGCTTGAGATGATGGGTGTAGTAGTTAGTTATCGCGGAGCTCCGCCCGCGTACTGCATGTACAGTACAGTACGGAGTACGGAGTGGTGGATTGAAAGATACCTCGGCAGTGCTCACGTGATCTGACCGCTGCAGCCAAAATTGGAAGCCAGCGCCAAGAAGCGCCGCTAGACCGAAAGCGGGACCCAGTACGCATCCTAAACCCGAGAAGCCGCGCGGAGCCGCTGGTCAGTCGAGACTGAAACCGTCCCTGAGCTTCTTTTTGTCTGGTCTTTAGTGAGGTTGACCTTTGCGGGTCGGTCATGATTGAATTGAATTGACTGAGTGATTGAGTATTCGTGCTCGTCAAACTCACCCTGAGTACCTCGTCCTTCTCCTCCTCTTCTTCTTCTTTTTTCTCCCCCTCCTTCTCTGCTTCCATACCTTGCTGGCTTTCTCATTCCTCTTTCCCGGGATCTACCCAGTCCTCGACCTGATCTCCCTATTTCGCAGTCCCCAGGTGCTAACAGAAACCGGCGCCGCTACTTCAATGGAATATGGGTCCTGATCAGCATGCTCAATTGGATGCCTTCAGTCTTTTCCTTCCCTTCCCCTCGCGCGTGGCGGTAATCTTACTGGCTGGTATGCTACTTATTCAATACTAATTGTTCTCTTATCTTCAACCCTGTTCGATCGTTGTTAATTGTTCCTGACAGGGTTCTGGGGATGGGGTGCCAATCTGCAGTATCTCTCAAAAGCGAATATTGTAGGTTAATCCCCCCCCCTCATTCTATCCTAGTCCTTCCTTCTCATGACATCTTGTCTAATATCCTCCAGGACGTTCCCTCTCTCATTCGATACCCCCACCGCCAGTCAGCTAGCCATCCACCTCATTACATCTCCGCCTACCGCTTAGCTACTCTCCTGACCATCCCTCTCGTGATATCACTTCTCATCTTCTGGCCCGTCACCCACGGTTCCAGACAACGTGTCGAGTCGTTGGATTACATCCCGCAATCATACTTCTTCATTGCCGCGATCATTCTGATTCAGCCCTTCATAAGGGTCGCGCGCTCGGGCCGATTCCGCCTGTTCACTACTTTGAAGCGCATCTGTGTTGGTGGATTGGCGCAGCCCCAAGATGGCAAGTTTGGGGACATTCTCCTGGCTGATGCCTTGACAAGCTACTCGAAAGTTCTAGGAGATCTGGTTGTCTCCTTCTGCATGTTCTTCACCGGGGATCTGGGCAGTACATCGAAACCGAATCGTAAATGTGGGAACGACTACCTGATTCCACTTGTCATCTCCATTCCCAGTATGATCCGCCTACGTCAGTGTCTCATCGAATACTTCCGTGTATGGCAAGGCGGTCACAAGAATGGGAACACGGGGGGCCAACATCTGGCCAACGCATTGAAATACGCTACCGCATTTCCCGTCATCATGCTCACGGCAAAATTGAGGAACTATAACCCCCTGGAGTTCTATGGATTCAGCGAGACCGGTCTCTCACGACTTTTGTAAGCATCTCCAATCGCCTGAGCCGCAGACCGACTAGTTGGAGGCTAATCTTCGTGCGTCACTAGGTTTCTCTGCACTCTGACCAACTCCGCATATTCATTCTACTGGGACGTCACCAAGGATTGGGACCTGACCCTTTTGTCGCCCTTGCGCGACAGTCCAGAGTATCCTTTTGGCCTCCGTCGCCACCGGTTCTTCGCTGATCGTCAGTACTACGTTGCCGTTGGCATCGACTTCGCCATCCGCTTCTCGTGGCTCGCGAGATATGTGCCAGGTCTCGTCTGGCTAAGTGACACGGAATTCGGAATTTTTGTCCTCATGTTTCTCGAGGTCGCACGCCGATGGATGTGGATCTTCCTACGCATAGAGACCGAGTGGAGTGAGTTCCCTGCTTTCACCACGTTTTTTTTTTCTTTGTGTGACGCACGGCTAATCTTGCGACACGACAGTCAGGAACAGCCGCGGCCCAGCTCCGGATGATATTCTGCTCGGCGAGTTCAGCGGTAAGCTGGATGCGGACTGATTAATCCGGCGTAGACGCTTTCTATATCGTCTTCGCCTCGTATATATTGTATATTCATAGACGTTTTCTAAGTTTTGAATCTTCCACCCGCTCCCGAGTCGCAGTCTTGATTTCTTTGTCTCTGCGGCCCGCATACCCGCATCAGGATACCATGTGATTGTCTTGTTCTCCCATGTTAGAACACAGCACGTGATGCCTTCCATTCTCAAAATCGTTATAGTAAGGTGAAAATCAACTGCCGCAGAGGCAGTGAGGTGACGCCATTACTTACCCGCAGTAGGAAGGCATGGTAAACCCCTCCCGAATCCACAGATGACTAGTATGGGAATGGTCGGACGTTCTCCAAATACCTGCCAACTCCCGCGGGCAATTGAGTACGGGGCGGTGCGCCGAGAGGATATGCAATGATTACTTCATCAGGATTTGCTATCAGACAATTCGACTATGTTCGGGAATAGAAACTTTATACCAGACACAACAGAAGTGAAAAAATGCCGCGTGACTTGAGGAACAGGGTAATATAATAGATGCACACAGAAATGGGTAAAGGGCTGAACTGAGATTTCTAGAACCAGAATGAAAGATGCGCGTTGAGAAGGATTAGGACAGTAATTTCGAACATTCAGCCATCCAGTTTGGGACACAGATCATTCCCGGTTTTGAGGCGGATGACTATCGAAGAGATCTTCCAAATATGCGCTGGGAGTTCTTCCCGCTGGCGGGGAAGCTAGATTCAGCGTGCTCGTCGAAGCTTCGGCGTGAGACCTTCTGGCGTTGCGACGAGGAGGGGTATCCTGCTGATCGTGATACTGGGGCAGACCCGGGGACTCAGGGGGACTGGAGCCGGATCGGGTCGGGACGTAACCCTGCGCTTGAGGACCTCCAAGCCCCGTCAGGTCGGCAGCTGAGTAACGGGCATCTTGAGTGCGGGGATTGTTTCCCACATTGTTGGCATTGTAGTAGCCCGCCGGAAGGTAGCTCGAACGGCGGTTTCCGCTGCCGTGTTGCATTCCGGCGGTCGGTGAGAAGAAGAGCCCGCTGTTGGCACTGGGGCCCTTGGAGGTTCGGTGCTGTCGGTGGCTGTGATGGCTGTGACGGTGATGCTGGTGAGTTCCGGCTCCTCCAAGCTTGTCGAGGGCGACGCCAGGGCCCGCGGAAGAGGACCTCCTAGTGCGCGACTTTCTTCTCTTCGAACGCAGAAGGCCCTTCGATTCGGACGAGCGCGTCATTGCGGCTTGGCGCACAGAGCGATTCACAGACCATGCAACTATGCCGCGCCATGCTAGGATTGCAAGCCCAATAGCTCCCAGAACTGCTCCCACGGCGATGAACAGGGTACCCTCCGGGATGTTGGACTTTTGCATATATGGCGCATCTGCAGTTGGTGGCACAGTGACGACGGGGTAACCATCTGTTGAGGAGGACGAGGATGCCGATGTCGACGTGGATGAGGTATGTGTACCAGTTGATGTCGTCGAGGCCGATGTCGTGGAGCTGCTCTTCGACGAGCTAGTAGTAGTGCTTGTCGACGACGACGATGATGAAGTTGTAGTCGATTCTGTTGTCGAGCTCACACTTGTGGTGGTTGTAGCATTGTCATCCGTGGTCGCATCTTGGGCTACGGATATTTGAGCAACAAGCATAACGAACAACACAAGAAGTAGAGTGAAAGAAGGCCGGTGGGCTCTCCCAATGCCCTTGAACAGAGCAACCATGATTGTGGGTGGTAATCGCAAACTGCTAAGAGGTAGATCTTCAATAGGGTGCGATGTCGATAAGTGCGTTGAATGGCTAGCGCAGAACGTAACTGGGCATAGCCACAACAAGCATATGAGAACGAACGTTCCTGCAGACTGAGCCCATCAACAGCGGCTGTCTCCAAAGACACGACGGGGATGAGGGGGAGCACTATCAGGCGAGTCTCCACCCAGCAGAAGAGGGTCCAAGATCAGCAAAGAAGCGAACAAGATCAGATCGTCAGCAGTCTTAACGAACGACTATGCAGAGACTAGACAGTAATATCAAAAAAGAGCCATGCTGAGTAGCGAAAGTCAAGGGATATGGGCAAGCGAGTGGGCGCGGTAAAAAATCACGATACACAAGTGCAACGACAACGGACGATAACACATAATCAGCAGAGAAAAGAAGAGGCAATAGGAATACGGGGGGGGGCTGTGGTGTGGGTGGGCTGCCCCGTGTTCGGCCGTCTGGACCGGCGTCCCTCCCTGCCTTACTTAGGCTATCACGTGATGGAGATACAGGTGCTATTTATGGCCATTCATGAATCGGCGGATAATTGATTTGAGTAAGTAGGAGTAGGAGCCCTTCTGATGCGCTAGCAAGGCCAGGGGACGAAAAGTCCAAGTATCAATGGGTTATCAAATTGAGCTGAACCGTAATCGCATCTTGGCCTCCAAATGCCCGCATTCCATCCAGTCACGTGGCTATTATCGATAACATCCAGATCCAGGGACATGCACCCAAATATAGCATACATCGCACTCCGTACAGCATCATGATTTATCGCATAAAGAAGATGAAACGCCAGCATACAAATATGCAGTGAATTTCAAAACCAAAATATACTGTGCTTAAAAGAACAAAATCAAAAAGCTAGACACGTTCAAGGAAAGTCTTCCACAAGAGATCAAGAACAAATCATTGCTGTTTCTTCTGCACACTAGCGGAGATGTCCTTCTCAAACGCCGCGTACGGAACCTCGAGGCTCAGGAGAGCACTGAGGCCAACATACAAGATCAGAAGACAGAAAAAGGAGGCCATCAGCCCCATAATGATGCCTGTTTGCTGTCAGATGGGAGTGGTTCATGGCCTGGGGTACTCTACACATACCTGGAGTGAAATAGTGGTATTCGCGGAAAAGCGTCTTGTTTGAGGGGGCATCATCCCCAAGACCATGTGCCGAGAAGTCCCGCTTCAAATCCATGTGGAGGGGGTCCTGGTAGGAAGCATCCTCAGATTGGTAAACACCGGTTTCAGGGCTCAATGTCTCCCTAGGCGAAGTGATGTAGAGAACAGTGTACTTCTTGGAATCCGGTAGCCGTTCGATGATGTCGGAAAGAAGGCCATCTGTCAAAGCTGTTAGTACCGTGTTTCGGGAGAGAATCAAGGTGAGATTGCTTGGATACAGACCATTATCTGAAAGCTGGAGGCGGCGATCAGTTCCCTGTGGAAGCACAGGGAAGTCGAGGCGGATCACACGTGGCTCAGCGCCAAAGTCGGGTGAGTAAATACCAGCTAAGAGAAAGAGAGTTAGCCCGGGTTGTCCTGTGCAGCTTGCCCAGATCCAGGTGCTTACAGGAGGCGTCAATGATGGTGGATTGAGCTCCACACTCCGCTTCTATAAGTTCTTGCACCTTCCTTGCTTCTAGAACTCCAACGACTTCGTTTATGATTGTCCTCGAGCGGATGGTGTGATCCTTTCCAGTCAATCTCGCGCCGAGGCGGGGTGCGGACTTGAGTGTAGAGAAGTCGTTGCTGTGGACGCCGGGTTGGGAAGCAATAACATAATAGTCGGAAGGACAACCAGAAAGCTTCGAGGAGAGATCCTCCAGTAGCGAAGAAGCAGTCTTAAGCTGTGCTGAGGCAGAAAGATTCCTAAGGGAGCTGTTAGCTGGCTCGTTTCTCGGATACTGAAGGTTCGCCTGCGCGCAATGTTGGTTGTGCATACTCCGAGGTCGATGCTAGAAAAAAGGGAGAAGTATCGTGGAATGCGCTGGTTGTAGTCGCTCCCAGAGCGAGCAATGATAGAGCTCCCAAGCGCATGATGGTTGGGTGAATATAGATATCCAAATAGATGCAGTGCTCTTCGGAAGGGCCCCAGATGAATGAATGATGTTAGAGCCAGGTGTGATGGCCCGCCGGCTCGGAGGCGGTCGACTTCGGCACGGGCACTATTTAGCCTCCTTTACAATTTAGATGCCGGGCTCTAGATCGCAATTTTCCCCCACGGAAATATCGCATGGTCACTCCGCTGCGCAAGTTTTGAAAAATTGAGATCGCTTTTATTTTTTTTTTATTTCGCCATACATTATCAATATTCTTTGGACTGCCACACCCATTGCCACCCACGACAATGGGTCCTCAAGCCAAAAGAAGAAAGGTCGCCAGCAAAGTCGAGGAGATCAACTTCGACGCTGCTGACCGCGAATCGTTTCTTACAGGCTTTCGCAAGCGGAAGCAACAAAGAATCAAACATGCACAAGAAGTGGCAATCAAAAAAGCGAAAGAGATGAAGAGAGAGGAGCGCAAGAGGGTAAGGATTACTATGCTTGTGTGCAATCGCCGTGGAAGGCCGCTCAACCAAGGCTAATTGCAACGCCTACTCAGATTCGGGAAGAACGCACTGCTGGCTTCCAACGTGCAATCGAAGAACATCAGAGACAGCTCAAAAAGCTGCAGGCAGCGGAAGAGGGCAGCGATGGATCTGATCAGGACAGCCAGGACGAGGATGTTGAGGATCAGGATTGGGAGGGGTTCACGGAACCCCCCGCCGTCGACTACGAAGCTGAATATATCGACGAAGACAAATATACGACGGTGACGGTAGAGGAAATGGATACTTCCAAGGAAGGACTTTTGCGATCAGCGGTCGACGAATCAGACATTGAAACCGAAGAATCGGAGGCAGGCTCCAAAGCAACTGCCGATCCCAACCCCTCTGCCGAACAAAGCAAGAAGCGAAAGGCGGACAACAAGCCCAAGAAGAAGAAGAAAAAGTTCCGTTACGAAAGCAAGGAAGAGCGCAAGGTAACCAGAATGAAGGAGCGCGCATCGAAATCGAGGAAGGCAAACGCCCGACGCGAGCGATCGTGAGTGGACTTGACTTGAATTCAATCAACAGATGGTGATAATGCACATGGACACTCCTATTAAATATACTCTATGTACCTTCTGGCAACGATGAAATGTTTGACGTCGAGTGGAAGAATAGACAAGGTTGCGAGGACGAGCGGAAAACCGGTTGATGGGAACAATAACAAAGCCAGCTAGATGACAAGACGGACAGAGACTGCCAAAGCCGCTTCCTGCCGACAGGAACGAAAGAAATCAGGCTGTGGTGTGCAGGGATAGAAAGCTAAAAGGATAGTATATGTGGGAAAAAAATAAGCTGGGGCCCCCTGTTGCCGGTATTCTGCGCCACCCTGGCCTTTAGACATTGCTAATGGAGACCTCGAGCTCGTGGAGATCCTTCTGCAGCTCGGCGTACTTCTTAGCCATCTCCTCATACTTGCTCTCCCATTGGTCGCGAGACGCTTCGAGGGCCTGCACCTTGCGCTCGTAGTGACCAGCCTTGACGTCGGTTTGGCGGAGCCTTGAGAAGTACCAAGGTAGTCAGCATCAACCTCCCCTCATCTAGATAGGCAAAGGGTGTGGGTAGTACATACTTCTCGTTCGTCTCGCGCAAGTTCTTGTCGGCATCCTCGGCCTCCTCTTCCAGAAGCTGGAGACGTCTCTGAAGAGCTTCGTTCTGGGTATCGTGCTGAGCACCCTGGTTGGCAGCGTCCTTGGCCTCCTTAAGGGCAGTCTCAAGCTTCTCCACCTCACCCTCCAGAAGCTGGTTCCGGTGGTTGAGGGATGTAATTTCCTGCTCCTTGGCCAAGTTCTCCTGCTCCAACGTCTTCACCTTGGTCTTGAGTTCTTCGACCTTCTCCTGAGCCTCCTCAGCCTCCAGGCGGAGGTTGTTCATTCTCTAGACCAGCCAAGGTCAGTGTGCATCTCAGGAAAGTTTATTTTGCTTTTGTCCATTTATGAGAACTATCCTGCAGCAGAAATATGCAGGATCAAGATGTTAAGGCAAGGACGATAGGTGGTGTGCATGTGGACATTCGGGGCAGCAGCATGTAAGCTACCCCGCCAACAGGGGGGGGGGGGAAAGAGGGGGACAGGTTGACACTCACCTCCTTAATCTTATCCATTTTGAGTAAGTTATTTGCAACGAGGAAATATGTACGAAGTGGAAGAGAGTAGGATGTAAGCAGCAACAACAGGCTTTCGCTCAGCGACAAACCAGGGAAAGAGGACAGAGAAGTGATTGATGCAAGAAGATAGTTTGGGCAGATGGGAATAATAGGGAGGAAAGAAAGGGAAGTGGAGGAGGAGGCCTTAAGGTAAGGTTGACTTTCTGGCCTGGCGCTGGCGGTCAGCCGCTAGCACAACTAGCGGGTTGGGTCTTAGCCGATCTGGTATAGGGGCCGTGGCTGACGGGGAGGCGACCGTAGAACCACGGTGTGGCTTTCCCCTTTCACCAGCCCCGTCTCCACGGGCAACCGCCTCGCAAACACCCTTTCTCACCTCCTCCTCCCCCCCCCATCCTGGCTGTTCGTCATGTGCGCGTCTAGAACCACTTCGACTGCTCGACAGCCATCTCTTGCACCAGACTCGTTGCTGGCAAGGGTCTTCGTATTCGACACTTCGACACTTCCACAGATTCACACCGATCCGGGCCCTCGCCTTTGAATGCGCTGTCGTGACTCGTAAGCCGCCGCCATGTTGGCTCTTCGCGACCAAGAGAACCTGGTGCATAATCACCAAACGGTCGCCGCATCAAAACCCATGAATCAGGGCTTGAGACACCTACAGCCGAAGACACCCGGAGCGCGAGCACCCAAAACGCCCTTCAAGATTCCATTGAACGACGAAAATGATCCGCTGGCTTTCGGAAAAAAGACTGTCAAGGGAGCAGGTAAACAGAAGGAAAGCATCAAAGATGCCTTTATGACTCCACTAGGTATGGTAGAGATGCTTTATCCCTACAACAGAAGCTGATCCATGTACTGATATGACGCGTTTTGTTTCCAGCTGACCCCCGTCAACGCGCCCCCTTGGGCATGAAAACCACCAATGCCAAAGCTAGAGGCCTACAGACCCCCGCCCCGCCCGGAGGCACCGCAAAGCCAGAGAAGTCTCTCAAAAGGGGCTCGACCCAGAGGGTGAAGAAGTTCTCCCCTTTCATCGAACAGGCGCAGCCAGAAACACACACCAAGCATGTGCAGGATGACGTTCCCGATATTGAGTACATGCCGCCCAGGCCTAAAGGTTGGTTACTCACTTCCTAGTACCAATCTATGGTATCTAACAGCAGCAGATCTTCCGGACTACCCTGAGGAAATTACCTACGATACCACGTTCCCTCAGTTTCAAGGGAGGAACCTTGCACGCGGGTTGGAAAGCGTGTATGGGGCTGATAATGAAATCGGACCTGATGGACTGACTAGAAGAGAGCGCAAATTCCATCAAGATTCGGCAGCCTGTGACAAACTGATCGATGATATGATCCTGAAGCAGGTTGAGAGTATCGGTTTCGAAGAGCCGTCTGAAACAGAACAACTGGAGGAGCCTGCTGTGGAAGAGACGGTGAAACGCCGTGTCGGAATCCGCCGTACCAGAGCGACTGCGGGCCTTACCAAAAGCACCAGCAATGTTTCCACCGTACGTGCTCGTGATGCCGCTACCGCCCTCTCGGGGACATACCGATCGGTTCCCCGCACCCGATCAGCTGCTTTGGCCAAACCAAGGACAAGGATTGCCACGTCCTTGTTTCCTACCAAACCGCCCCGAGCCCCAGACAACCCGTCAAGCATGCATCACACCGCAGCTGAAGCCAATTCCAAAACGACTCTGGGGTACACTCGAGGCCGCAAGGTATCCTCTAAGATGAGTAGCAGAACAGCTACCCCCGTCGAGCAGGACCCGGCCCCGAAGGGCATTTTATCTCCAGAGACTTACTTGCATCCTTCTGGCACGTTGTCTTTGGCCGATGGACTTCCCATCTTGGTTGCTGAAGAGGACCTTCCAGTTTACGATGAAGACGTGGAAGCTCAGGATTTTCAACTGACGCTGTGAGAGCAAATTAGCATAATGGAACAAAGGCCTACATTCCAAGGAGAGGCTTCGGTGTCTGGGTGGGTTTATTATTGTTTCGGTGGGTGCACGGTGTTTCAGATGGTGCTTGCTTTTGGTCCGTCTGCTTTTTACTCTGTGGTTGATGTGATTCTATTGTTGAACAAACCATGGTGGGCAAATAATCCATGTGCACACCGCAGCGTGGAAGGTTTCCAGGGGCGTTTTGTATGAAGTGATTTGATGATTATGATTACATGCAGCATTTAGCTTATGAGACTTTTTTATGACGTGGGGAAATGGGAGCTAAAGAGATCGACAGGCCAGGCCATTAAGTTACTGAGTAATTACAAGTAGCATTGTACATAGTAGCATTAGGTGCATCCAGCATGCATCAACTTAACAAATCTTTATGTACAGTAATGTTATCTGGATGGACACGGTATCCTCGGAATCAGTCGTCATCAGACGATGGAGAAGGACTTTGAAAGGCCACGACACCCATTACTAAGAATACAATGCGGCTGGTTATTCGCCTGGCAGCGTTTCAGCAGGGTGTGACGGTGTGTGCTTACCGTGGATGCATCGGTCTGGGTCCCGAACCTCAATCTCCATCGGATTTCCCTGCCGGGCGCATAATTGGAACAATAATAATAATAATAAATAGTTACCTAGTATTGGTAGTGTACCTTGACCAGGAGCTTGCAACAGTCTAGCCTCACCAAAGACATCAGATTAGACCTTAGAAGACCACCAGCCTCTTCTCACCGCTTCTCTCTCTCTTTCTCATTCTCTTTCACCCTTGCGAACAGCCCTAGAACAACTGACGAAGCACTAGACCCAAATGAAGTCAAGCTATCTTTGGCGTAACTTAGGCACTGTACATGTTGTACGGAGTACCTGGAGCTTCTATCCATACATCTGACTATTGTTGTTCAACAATTGGTAACTACCAAGCAGAGCCATCTTTAAGCATAGCTTATGGCTACCAATTGGTGAAAGACCAATTTAGGAATTGTTTTGACGTGTAAAGTAGAGACGCACCTACACAATCTGTACCATATGGAGTCGAGTGATAAATTGGAATGAAAGGGATCCGATGCTGCTCCTCCCCAATCTAGCAATCCATCCACATCCACCACATCCACTCGCTGCCGTCCAGACACTCGCCGCTCTCCCTCCCTCTTTTCCCATCCTTCCCTTTCGTCCTCTTCCTCTTTCCACCTCTTTTCTTTCCCTTCCCCCCCCTCCCTCCCTCCCTCCCTCCTTTCTCTCTCAATTCCCCCTCATCCTGTCAATTCGCCTCCTCCGTCATGACGGTTGTACATCCCGAGTCCCTTGAGGACTTCGAGTACATCGAAACTCCTCCCGCCTCGTGCATCACTCCCGCTGATGACTGTGGTGTGCGGACGACCTCCGTGAGTCGCTTTGCTGTCTCCCTTCTTTTATCCTCTGGCAATCCTTGTTCTTCTCATTCCAATGAGACCTCAGAGCCGTGGAAATCAAACACTGACTGTCAATGGTTTCCCTGTTTCCTAGTACCCGGCCATTAAAAATGCCCCTGTACCGGCCGATTCCCCCGGCAGCGATAGCTTCTCCAACACTCTGTTGTTCGCCCTATTGTTGCTGATCCCATGGTACTTCGCTCGCCAAGTTGGCGGTGGTTTCTACACCACCATCTTCTTTGCTATCTTCACCACTATCCCCATTCTCATGGCCTTTTGGTCTGTAGCTTCTTCCATCTCTCCCCGCAAGAACGAAAAGGCCAAGTATGCCGGTCGCCCCGTCGAGTACTACCTCAGCTTCCACAGCGAGCATGATCGCGCTGCCTATCGTGGCAAGAGCAAGATTCCCATGGAGGTTTTCTATGAAAAGTACTTCAACGGTGAGGTGGAATTCAAGTGTGACGCCCTGGAAGCCCTCGAGTTCCGTCACGACTGGGCCAATTTCCGTTTCACCATGGGTCTCTTCAAGCATTTCCTCTTCGGTTTCATTCCTGAGATGATCATGCACACTCGTTCCCAGGGTAAGTGACCAGGTGTCATTTGATTTTCGGGGAAACTAGGTTGCTGACTGTAGATGCGTCAATCAGATGAGGAACAGGTTCGTGACCACTACGATCGTGGCGATGACTTCTATGCTTGGTTCCTGGGTCCTCGCATGATTTACACCTCTGGAATCATCAGCGATATCAACCGTGAGGAGACTCTTGAGGAGCTTCAGGACAACAAGCTGGCTGTGGTGTGTGAAAAGATTGGCATTCAACCCGGTGACACCGTCCTCGACCTCGGTTGCGGTTGGGGTACTCTGGCCAAATATGCTTCGGTTCACTATGGCGCTCAGGTCACTGGTATCACCCTCGGTCGTAACCAGACTGCTTGGGGTAACAAAGGTCTTCGCAATGCTGGTGTTGAGGAATCTCAGAGCCGTATCCTATGCCTCGATTACCGTGACGCCCCCCGGGTGGACGGAGGTTACAAGAAGATCACCTGCTTGGAAATGGCTGAGCATGTCGGCGTTCGTCACTTCACTACTTTCTTGTCTCAGGTCTACGAAATGTTGGATGATGACGGTGTCTTCTTCCTTCAGATTGCTGGTCTGCGTAAGTCCTGGCAGTATGAGGACCTGATCTGGGGTCTTTTCATGAATAAGTACATCTTCCCCGGAGCCGACGCTAGCACCCCCCTTGGTTTTGTCGTTGATCGACTGGAGGCCGCCGGATTTGAGATCAAGGCTGTCGATACCATTGGCGTCCACTACTCTGCCACCCTTTGGCGCTGGTACCGGAACTGGATGGGTAACCGTGACAAGGTCGAGGCCAAGTACGGAAAGAGATGGTTCAAGGTTCGTGACTCTCCTCAATGATCACCACCGCACATGACTGACCAGCGTTTGAAGATCTGGGAGTACTTCTTGGCCTACTCTACCATCACCTCTCGCCAGGGTGGAGCTACCTGCTGGCAGCTTACTCTTGTCAAAAACATCAACTCCACTCACCGTGTCGAGGGCATTAATCGTCAGTTCGGTCTCACCGGCGCCCGCCAGTCCGCTATCGACAAGGTTGGCCACGGTGTTGTCCCCAGCGCTCACGTGCCTAAGAAGGCTTGAAGGGGTACTCCAACACTTATGCTGTAGGCCCTTCTGGTGCCTGGACTTGACAAATTTCCTGTTTCCTGGTTGTTGAAGACGCAGAGTTTGAATGACCTGGCGAAAATGGATATGGTCGCATGAATTTTCTTCAAGGTGGAGACCTAAGGAATAATGAGGTGCAGAAATGAAAATGGTTTGGAGACTGATAAGGGGTCTGTTTATGGGACACGAATGTGTGGGCGGGGTTCACAGAAATGACGAACTTAGTTACGTACAATGATTCTGATTTATATAACCAGTCTGGCTCAGACAGAGTCTGTGTGATTCAAATCAGAACAGCATGTATTAATGAGACACAATTGAATGCGACTGTGGTTGTAAGACGGATATTGACTTCTTCAAATCTGTAAGCGTCGAAGGCCTAGTTGTAACATGTGGGAAACGAAATTCTTATTTACATTGCTCGAAACGCCAGATGGCGGTATGTGTAGTCATGAATCATACAATGCTTTCGCCAATGAAGGCGAAAGTCTAGATCAAAAGGGCCATCCTCCATGCTCGCGGGCGTTTCTCAGTCTAGTCGTTTATACAGCTTCGCCTTGCTGCCTCCCGCACCCGAGCAGCAAGACGCCGCGGCCGCTGCTTCCGGGTGAAGAGTTGACTTGTTGAAGGCCTGAGATGACTGCGGCACATCGACGGCGGGGTTCTTGGTGAAGAAGCCGTCGGGACGCAGCATGACGCTGATACGTTCCATGGGCATGACGGGGAAGTCCTCAATGCGGGGATTGTGGGTCAGTCCGAATGCTACGGAAGGATGGCATGTTAGTCCATTGTACATTACTTTCTCAAGGTGATGCGATACACATGGGAGGGGGAACTTACTATGCCAGAGAACCACGTCCTCATCCTCGGTTGGATCGTTTCTCTTGACCCATGTCTCTACGCCGTCTGCGCGGTGGCTTTGGTTCGTGAATTCGCCTGCCGCGTAAAGCTCCTCGTCCCGGTACTTTGTGACCCAAATGGGCCGTGTAGCGAATTCAGCCCGTTGATGTCCGATCGAGTTCTTGCTTTGGATAAGCATTTGGCTGGGTGCGGCGTGGAGCTTGTATGCCACGGGCTTGTAAGTGATAGGGTTGATGCTGCTGTCATTGCGAATTTTGAAAACTCGGCTTCGGCTGATATCAAGATCTGCGGCGCTGGACTTGCTGATGACAGTTTGCTGAGTAGTGTATCCCACAAAATAGGGGTTCTGGTCATCCTCGGGTAAGGGGACACTGTCCTCATAGAAGACGGTATTCTTGAAGCCGTCGAGGGCGGGATCAATCCGGAACGAGAACATATGTTGATGGTAGGGAGCCATAACACCGGGGCCAACATTTGTACCCCATCTAACAGTCTTGCCGTCTTCGTTATCAAACGGTACCGTAGACAGAATGCCTGTAGCACGGACTTCAAGTTCGACGTTGGCCGCCTGATCGAATATGTAGGCGAAGATGTATTCATAGTTAGCAACAGTGCAGATCATCTGCATAACAAGCTGACGATTGCGGACAACTGTTGCCGCATTAGTTCTGTAGTTGGTGTGCTTATGTTGAATACCATTGTCCTGTTCGTGCATGCAGATAATGTTCTTTAACAGGACTGGGTTGCCCTTGGAGTCGGCTCGGTAGCCATCAAAGTATTTGATGTGGCCTAAGCAGTCACAGCCGAGCGAGAGCTGATTGGCGTTGAGACCGAAACCAACATCGCCAACATCAAAGGCCTGCTTGCGATGATAAGGGGCGCGAGGGTCTATGCGGATCAGATTAGCGATAATTTTGAACAGGTACGTTGGGGTTAAAACCCACCTCCATAGGGCACCGTCATCTCCGAGACCGAGAGACGGTAGAAAACACTGCGATTGTCATATGTGACATTGTACAGAACCATACCCTCCCGGTTGTTGAAGCCGACCCTGAAACGCCACTTTTGCCAGTAAACAAAGTTGCCGTCCACGTTGAAAGAGGGACCTTCTGGTTGCTGGACAATGTAAGGTCTGAGATCCGTGCGAACAGGCTCATCAAGGAGATCGTGAGCATATTGCACAGCCTTGACAGGCTTCCAAGCCTGCGTCTCAGTGAATGAATGATCATCGCCTCCTGGTAGATAGTCCATGCGGATCAATTCGTGGGTAAAGGCGTCGAAGACGGGTGAGAATTTGCATGGCAGGGAGTAGTGGTTATTTTGAGGGTGGTCGACTTCCATCATGTACATGAAGCATTGGAACATCCGACGTGTCTCAGTCTGGTTCTCAGTGCCGTACATCCATGGATCATTGCACACAGCCATTCCCGGGGGCAAGTTAAGCTTCGCGATCTCTGCCTGCACAGCCGGGTGCTTCATGCAGACTTCTTCAATCACAGCAAGTTCATCGATATCGACGGGAGGCTGTATGCACATCAATGTCAGTGCTCAATACAAAGATTATCGTAGATGATGATGCGCATACCTGAACGGTCTTAGGGAGCACTTTAGTTGAGACAATTGACGCGGTGTCAGCATTGATGAGCGCCTTGCAACATTCAAGAGTATCGAGGCGATGAAAGTATGAGTATAGGAGGCGGGTGGGCTTGCGCGGTAGCGGCTGTCCTAGACGTTCGGCTTCAATGTATGGGGCAACCTCATGCTTGATGGGTTCGTGAATATCGATCCGATTGTAGCGAAGCTTGACACCAGCGAAAGCATTTTCCAAAACCCGAACCGCTAGTCTGATTTCTCGAGGAGTGACTGGATCGAAGGGATGAGGGCCACTCGATGCACTCAATCGAGGGCTGGGTTCAGTTGCGAGAGACATCTTGGGGTTGTATTAAGGAACCAGAAGAAAAGTACTGGTTTGACCATTGAGGGAGGGAGGAGGAGGAGGAGGAGGAGGAGGAAGATATTGAAGGGCCTTTAAGTAGTTCCAAAGGCAAAGGTTCTTTTTTCCACATTTCGCAAGCAGCAGCAGCAATAGCTGTAGTAGCGTTGAGTTGATCCAGAGCTTCCACATTAAGGAGATTGAAGATTATTGACCATGGGAGAGTCTGGATGGACTTGCCTAAAGCGGAAAGTAGGCTGGGGGTAGTGGGGGGAAGTGGGGGGAAGTGTTTATCTCGCCGATGAAACATCATCCTTCAATCGCTCTTCTCACTTCTCTTTCGCTCTCCCCACCGCGGCTATTCCAGCTACTCATAGACTGCGAGGATGAGCATCATCATCATCATACACGGCAATTTCATTAGTCACACGGTATGGTCTCTCGTACCTGGCATGATGCTCTTCGGAGCCCGAGGGGTGCGAGAAAATTCCAGAGGCGATAAGAAATGTTCGTCCCACTCTTTCCTTTATCTGTCGCTCTTATCAGTCTACTTACTGACTACGGTACAGTACGGAGTACTCCGTACTACTACGGGAAATCGAAAGAGCCGACGCCACTATCTTCGTCTGGTGATGAGTAGCGTCAATTCTTCCTGAGCAGGCTGTACTCCGCTGTACTTACGCAGTACTAGGTACCTTCTGTACTGTACTCCGTACTGTACACCCAGTTGTCACGGGTCTCCCTTGGCAATCCCAAGAGGGGAAGCCCAGGCGATAACGTGGGCGCATCACTTACCCTTTCCAGTTTAGTGCCATCAAGGAAATCCATCTCCGCCGTGTCATCAATCCATAACTAACTCAACTCACTACTCTCGCTCACTGTCCACCCCCTCGCCACTTTCGATCAGTACCTGAATCTGAAGATACTAGCCTCGATGCTACCTGCATTGGTTAGATCTTGTGCCTCAAAGAGCGAGTCCATATGAGTACTTGATACGTGCTTGTGGGGATTCTCTCCCTGCTAAATCAATCGGACCAGTTCTGACATAGAACTTGTACAACATTCATTTACTCAGTACACCGCCAAAGCTCAGCGTTTCGTTTCATTCCTACCGGTCCTCGGGTTTTCGCCCATGCTAGCCTTATAATGTGGGACGACACTATGACTGGAGACCGACCACTACCTCACGCGGCTGCAAACCCATTGGAGGCACAATTTCAGGTCGTTAGTAAGAGAAGATGCAGGAGAGAGGGCGGGAAATGGACACGCACTGGCTGTCTGACATGTAAACGTCGCCGGAAAAGATGTGACGAATCTAAGCCTGGGTATGTCTAGTGGTCGATTACCTTCCTTGTTACTGACTGAACTCGTTTATCAGATGTCGTAGCTGTGCTAGATTAGGGCTACGGTGTGAGGGATATGGCTCAATATGGGCAGAGCCCTTGAACCCGTCAGCACAGGTCTTCAGTCAAACAAAACCAACAAAGCGCAGGAGACTTAGCACATCGTCTTCCATTTCCTCATCCTCCTTGGGACGAGCAAGTGCGAGCTCCCCATGCTCCAGCTCCTTATGGCTACATTACCAACCAACTACCCCTACCACATTCTCAGATTCTAGTGATAGCGATATGTGTTTATCGAACGTCGATGACACTATGGATGAGGTTGACCAAATGCCAGCACATACCACTGCCGAGAATGGTGACCTCTCTATAATGACACTCACACCCTGCAAACCCCTCAGTCATCTTTCGCACTCAGAAACGCACTATCTTCAATACCACATGGAGCTCGGCTCCAAGTTACTCGCAAACCTTGAGAGCGCCGACAACCCTTTGCGGTCTCTGATCATTCCTCGGGCCCTATCATCCTCGCTCCTTATGAAAGCGTTATGCGCAGTATCAGCGACGCATTGTGCGAATCGAATAGCTGCCCATTCAGAAGCCCAAACTGCTGCCACAATGTATTACATTCAAACCCTGAATGGGCTGCAATCTGTGCTCTCGGAATATCCCACTGGAAGATTCCCTGATGAAGCTATTCTCGCGGTGGCTTTACTCTGCAAATACGAGATTGTCCGTGGAAGCGTTAAGCAGTGGGTAGCGCATCTGAATGCTCTTCAGAAGCTAGTCATTGCACGGGGAGGGTTTGGGGCTTTGAATCATGATACCCGGGAGTTCTTGATGGGCTTGTATGTCGTCAGTCTCATGGAGAAAAAGGCCATACTGACAAAAAATAATAGCTACATTTATGCTCATAACGTTGCTAAAATCAGCAATCGCAAGCAAATCACCTCCAGCATGCTTGATATGGAGGACGTCAGGATCACCAAGCTCGATATATACATTGGCTACGCGGAAGATCTTGTCAAACTCTGCGCGAGGATAGCTGATCTACCTTCCCTGAGCCATGACCCTGTAGCTTTGGGAATCGAAATTCATGCAATGTGAGCCGCCTACTTCTCTATAGCCTCTCCCCACCCGTCATACTTTCGACCCCACAGACGTGCATATATAGCTGATACATACCCCAGTGATACCCTACTGCATGATTGGACGCATCAGGACATAAGGTACATCATTCCCGAGGGCATCACAGAAATGAACCTCTGTCGTCTCCGCATGGTCGCAAATTGTTTCCGCGATGCGGCATACATCTACCTCCATTCAATACTGGAGAAGATGAGCAAGGGTATGAAAACCACCTTCACTGCAGGCCCTTGGTCAGCTTTGATCACTATGACGAGGTCGGATGCCCTGCAGATGCTTCTGGACAGGATCCGAACGGCCTCACCCCTCGATGCCCACTGCGAATATTCGGCGCTCACATTTCCTTTGCTCATCGCGGGCTGCGAGATCAGGGTACCCGATGATAAAGAGCTTATCATGACATGCTTGAGTAGCCTTGAGGTCAACTTCGGGATTGGGAATGTTAAACGAGCGAAGGAGATGCTACAAGCTCTATGGGCTATGGAAGGAGTGCATTGGCTGGACTTGCTGGATCAATTACAGTGGGATCTCATACTGGCTTGATATGGGAGATCGATTTTGGAGAGGGTATGGACCTCCGGAGGCGGAGAGGTATGCCCATAATGAACAATTTTATGAGTCCAAGGCATATAAGATTATCTCTTAGCCAGGTGATAGAATGATGATGCGCGACGGCGCCAAAGTTTGAATCACCAGCGCAATTGTTATATTTGGCTAGAATTGTAAGGGTATCTTCATGTCGTCGTGGCGTAAGTACAGGACAAAGATGGTCGAAGCGCCCAAGAGGCCCAAACTCAACTTATGGGCGTCATAAAAAGAAAGATGCTTCACTCAAAGGTCAATCTGAAAGGTTTGTGCACGATGCTTCGCAACGGATTTGTAAACTGAGATCAGCTCAATCCCATATTCACCTCGTCGCCTAGCCCCAATTCTCGCTCTGCCCGTTCGGTTCCTCCTGCCGCTCGGGCAGCCCATCGATCCAGCTGATCCTGCGCTCGAGTGATTTCCTTTTCTCGGAGGCTACCGTCTGGTCCCTGGCTGCTGCTGTAACTGGCGGTGCCGGAATAATTGGACAGTTTTCGAGAGTGAGAGATATTAATCGGCCTGGAAGGGGCTCTCCCGGATGGTGGTGGATTGGTACTATTGGCAGACGTTATTCTTCCAAGATCAACGGAGGAGTTGTTGGTGGAGGTTGGTGGAGCAGAGGAGAAGCTGCTGTTCTTGATGTCGCTTACACTCTTCGTGCTCCCGAACCATTGGCGTCTCCGTGACTTGGAGGATGTCGAAGGGGCCAGGCTATCGGTATCGCATCCACCGCTACTATCCGCCGGATGCGCATCCACGGTGCCGATTGGTTTCTTTTTCTGTTTCTCTGCCTCCAAGGCTTGGGACAGACCGGATGTCACTGCTGTAGATGTGCCCTCGGCTGCTGCAGAAGGCACTTCAACGAGTTCAGCGTCGCGACACCATTTCCGACGACGGGTGTATCGGTCCCAGCCGTCCTGGCCACGGCGACCCTCATTCCACTGCAGAATATTAGCTAGACTGCCTGTGTTGGAATTGAGTCCAAGGAACCAAACTTGCCTTGTTGTCGTAGTAGATCCACCCCCCACCGTCAGAGGACTTGGCATCGGAGTGTCCATTTTGGTCATCGGCCCCTTCGATATGCCACTCGCTGCCATCTACCCACCGCCACTGTGCATTCCCACTCTGAACGCCAGGCAGCTCAAATTCGTCCTTTGCAGGTACCGGATTCAGATGCTCGTCGGTCCAGGCAGCACGCTCGGAGGGGAAGAGAGAGTAAGTCCACCCGATGCCCAGCCAGCGACGCTGGTTCTCATAGATGATGAATGTGAATCGGACGCCGGAGGAATCCCCGCGGCGTCTCGTGGCGATGTTCACCGCATGCCCGTGACTTTGCATCACGGCCGATAATGTCTTTTCCACATCCGACGAGAAAGACAGTCCAGTAATCATGGAACAGATTTTGCGGATGGTCAATGAACGCCATAAGATGACTCGACAAACCCTTGCCGGTCGGGAGTGATAGGTGATGATGATAGTGCCAAAGATCATGACTACACGACGAGTGGTGATCAAATACAATGGCGGGAGGGTTAAAGCAATCCAGAGAGGCGTCACAAATAAGATCCGGAAGAAGAGAGTAGTAAGAGCTGGCCGGGTGGTGGCAGATGTAGCCGTCCTTTGCGTTGATAAGAATTCGGTCAGCTCCACGAGGGGTTCCAACAGTATGTTGCACCGAGTTGTGAATGTCCTCAGAGTTTCGACAATCTCATCTAGGGTCTCGTTGCCATGAGGAGAGCTGTCAGATATGGCTCTTTGATGGCTCTGTTTCTCAGCAATGTGAGCCCTAGAGGACAAGGGCGAGTATCGTCTCCAGTACATGCCCAGAATGAGCCCGACCACCAGCAAGAGTGGCCCTGCCCACAAGATGATGACCTCGCCATAGAGGACCAAGGTCCAAAACACGGCCACAAGTAAGAAACTCTGCCATCCGTCCCCGGTTGTCCATGTGAGCAAACCCACGAGCTTATTTAAGGGTAGAATAAAGGGGTGCGAATAAGCCAAAGCGCGGGTTATCTGAGGCGGAGTGGCGACTAAAAGAGGGGACTTGCGGTGTACAATTATACTTGAGCGTTGTCTCGAGGTTAATGATGAGCCGGAGATGGTAGTAGGAGAGAAAGCAGCGACCGTCGGAGGCTGAGAGTCAGCATGGTCCTGCGCAGAAGAAGATGACGGGGCCATGGAATCTATCCACGGAAGTTCTTCTATCCCAGCATATCAGTATTTGGTGAACGGCCGACACGAGAGGGATATAACGAGGACTCTTTGAGGAGCGTTGAGGATGCGTTGAATGTCTTACATACCGAGTGCTGCCATCCAACAACAGAGACGTCATATGCATTCGCCAAGGGCATTGCGGGCGGTGAGCGGAGAAGAAAGTGAGGAGGTCGCAAGGACGAGCAAGTACGGCGAAGTAGAAGAGGAAGAGGAAGGAGGAGGCGGGTGTGGGGGAGAAGAAATAGGAGAAGAGAAGGGACAGGCGAGAAGCTCCAGCAGGGGCGGTAGGTAGAATTAGTATTCAGTAAGTGGAAAGCCGATCCATCATTCTTCAAATTGCGGGGGAAAGCACACAAGAAGAAGTTCGAATTGAAGCTGCTAAGTCGTAGTCCATATGTTGGTTGTCTGGTCGGGAACATGTGACAGGGACTTCTGACCGAGCGATTAGCGATTGTACGGGGTAATGTATCACTGTAACTATGAGCCGTATTGTACTGTAACATACCAGACGTCACCAGCACTTCCAGCACTTCCCCGGTTCGGACTAAAACCAACCGCCGAAATTTTCCCTCTCTGTCTGTTTCCATTGCCATCCAAACCTGGCTCAACCTCCCCTTCAACCAGACCAGACAACGAATTCTCACCTCAACCCCCCTCCCCCTCCCCACTAGATCGGCTCTTACCACTACGCATCATGGTACGTGGTCGGCCAAGTTTTATTTTCCCCTTGCTCTCCTGATATCATTCTGTTTCCAGACTGACGTTTCCCGCTCTTCGCTATCTTCTAGGCCCATCGCATCGTCACCCAAGTTGTCGTTACGGGCGCCCGCGTCTTCGGTCGCGCCTTCGCCGAGGCCTACAAGCAAGCTCAGGCCTCCTCCAAGTACGCTGCCCAGACAGGCAAGAAAGTGGGCGGCGGGGCCGCTTCTGGGTTGACCCTCGACGAAGCCTGCAAGATCCTCAATGTCAAACCCCCACAGGGTGGTGAGGCCAACCTGGAGCAGGTGATGGAGCGCTTCAAGAAATTGTTCGACATGAACGATCCTCAGAAGGGCGGAAGCTTTTACCTCCAGAGCAAGATTCTTCGTGCCCGTGAGCGGTTAGAGATGGAGGTCCGACAAGCGGAGCGCCATGCCGCCCAGGAGAAGGAACTGCAGGAGGGATGGAAGCCCAAGGTGTACAAGGATCGGTGAAAAGCTTGAAGCTACTACAATGGGAAGCTTCCACATCTCGAATCAGCCCTCTCTCCTCCCGGTTCCCTCCGCCCACGCGTTCGATCGGTTCCGAGGCCGGTAAAAGAAGGCTTGATCATGCCAATCGTCCTCAACTGAACGGTTTTCGAGACTTTGCCGACCTATTTCGACTCCTCCCTCCGCTTCCGAGGTGTCTGTTTTTTCTTCGCAGCATAGCATGGCGTTTTTGGTGAATCCAAGGTTTTTTTTGGATTGGAAGACTTGTTCTAGATTCCCTCGATTTCGATGGCGTGTCGCGCCTATCCGTGTCGGACCCAGCACTTGAGTGACAGAAGGGTACTGCTGTTACTGAAGCCAAACCTTTCAGACGGACAACTGTTACCTCTCGATGCATCGGGTCCGAAACGATATTTGTTGTGTACATTATTTGAAGAGGTGGGACTTCAAGCCGACAGGGTCAGAGTGGGCCTTGCTCGCCTCGTATGCTTTTTGTTCCTCTTTTGTTGATTCTCCCCTCCTGTACTTCAAGCGCTGAAAGGCGATGGCTTATGTGGCTGTAGTTCGACCATCCACAACGTGCATATGTATAAATAAGATCCATGCTTTGTTCCTGTCTCTCAGTCCAGCAACGTTGCAAGAAACACCGACTTCACGGCTTTACTGTAGTCTTTAGTGCGATTTACCTACTCTCAGTAACCCCCAGGAGGTGTATTAAGTATGTACGACCCATGAGATCAGGGACAATTCTCCGGGGTTGTGTCGGAAATGTTTGCCTGCCCCCTCCCTCCCGTCCCCGCGTCGGCGCCTTCTTATCTCCGCAACGTATTTTTCCATCTTCCCCTCACTTGGTTATTTCAGGCTATATAAATTCCCAGAGTTTTGCTACTGCACTTCCTTTTCTTTCCTCCAACTTTCTCGCCAATCTCTACCATTAGAGGATAAGACAGACACGAAGGAACGAAAGGAACGAAGAAACAATGGGTCGCCCTTCGACACCCCTCTCGACGCATCTGCCGCCCCTGATCATGGGCACGGCGACATTCAACTCCCAATATAACCGCGACCCGTACGCACTCCCGACCACCGAGCTGGTCCACCGCGCTCTCACCGACGGCGTGCGCGCCTTCGACACGTCGCCATACTACGGCCCGGCCGAGGAGCTCCTTGGGCGGGCGCTGGCCAGCGAGGCCGTCCGCGCCGCATTCCCGCGCCACAGCTACCAAATCCTCACCAAGGTGGGCCGGATCGCCTCCTCGTCGTTCGACTACTCGCCGCGGTGGATCCGCCGCAGCATCCGCCGGAGTCTGCGGCGGCTGCACACCGACTACCTCGACGCGGTGTACTGCCACGACGTCGAGTTCGTGTCGCGCGCCGAGGCGCTGGAGGCGGTGCGCGAGCTGCGCCGCATCCGCGACACTGAGGGCACCATCCGCTACGTCGGCATCTCGGGCTACCCGGTCCACGTGCTGTGCGAGATCGCCGAGCTGGTGCTGCGCGAGACCGGCGAGCCCCTGGATCTCGTGCAGTCGTACGCCAACTTCACCCTGCAGAACACCCGGCTCCGCAGTCAGGGCTTGCCGAGGCTGGTGGCCGCCGGCGTGGACGTGGTGCCCAATGCGTCGCCGCTGGGCATGGGTCTGTTGAGGAGGGACGGCGTCCCCATCGGGAGCATGGGGGATTTCCACCCCGCCCCGGATGGGTTGCGGAATGCCGTCCTGGCAGCGGGCGCGTGGGCGAACACCCAAGAGGCGGAGAAGCTGGAAGTCATCGCCATTAGGTTCGCGTTGGAGGCCTGGTTGCGCGACGGGGCTCAGGTTGGCGCGATGGGGCCGCCTCTTGCGCGGGCCCCTACCGCTGACTCTGGTTTGGTCTCTGTGGCTTCCAATGGGACTGGAGAGCGGCTGGGCGTCAGCGTGATGGGCGTCAGCAATGTGAATGAGTTGGATGAGACGCTTAGCGTGTGGCGAAGTATTCTTGA